TTGTTTCTCATTGAGTTTAAAAGCATTGGTACAAACTATGAGTTCTGCTAGCTGAGGACTAGTCTTAGCAGCAAGTGAAGAGCTTTTAGTTGTCTATATAAAGTCACTACTGCATACCCTGCCTTTCTTGTCTGCATACCCTGCAAATTTCCATGAATGAACTGCTCTCACAGAAAAGGGTCAAATCAGGGTTGTGAGGGTTATATCTAACAAGTCTTCTCTAGCTGCATATGTATGGGGAATTACCTTTTGCAGTCATGTCTTTCAACATCAGCTTCTTCATTTTCTGGTAGGAAGATGGCAGGGTTTAAGGAAGAAGATGTCTTTAATGAATGGCTGGTCTTTCTAGAAGTAAAGCCTGGTATTTAAGAAGTCAGTTGTCTGATAGTCATAAACTACCTTTGGAAGAAAGAAGTTTTGTCACATTGTTAGGTGTATATAAAGTGAGATCTTTGCCTAAAATTAGCTTGAAAAGGTCTGGTACCAGGAGAGCTATGGCAACCCTAGCTGTAAGCATATAGTCCATTCCATTGTGTAGGGATTGACTGAAGCTAGAAATCCTGTCTGTGTGAGGGAAGAGTCAAGGTTGGTCTGAGAACAAAGAGCACCTGGGCAAGCCATGTGCTCAAGCTGCTTCAGTCCAGAGAACACCAATCTGGAGAAATAGTCCAAGCAATCAGTTGCTAGGCAAAGTTGTGTCACATGACACTAACTTTGTCAAATGTGTAAATGAACACCCCTATGTTAGTTGTGCAGGTCCCTTTTCTCCCCTTTGCTACACTGTCTAATTCATGACTCAGATACCTACAGGCTTGAGTAGTTCCTCAATCCTGTGTAAGCACACTCAAAGCTATGTCCCACTATTCATCAAAATACAAGTTGAAACAGTGTCCCTTTTGTAGGCTCAGTGCTGCGTCATTTACAAGTGCCCATTTAAGCTTCTAGGATGCATTTCTAAAATCAGGTTCCCAGATTAAAATATGGGTATCTGCTTCTTGGACTTCCTTTTAAGCTGATAGGAGAATCATTTGACTTCTCCATACCCTGCTGTCCAAAGGTAATAAAAACCTATAATTCCTAGAAATCCCCTTAGCTGTTTTAGCGTCTTGGGTTGCAGGAAGAAAATTATGGCTTTAATTTTCTTTTTTCCAGCCTTTGAGTTTCTTTAGATATGATAAGGTTTAATTCTTTTACCTCAAAGTGAAAAGTTGTGCCTTTTACTTAGATTCAGCAGAATATGGGTTCCTGGGCTGGAGAACTTTTCTGAGGGAGCACATAACAATATATCATGTACATATTGCAAGACTGTGACTTGTGAAATTTCAAAACATGCTAAGTAACAGGAAAGCACTTGTCCAAAAAGATGAGGACTTGAGATGTATTTTCATTGGAGGAGCTTTTTACTTTTAGTTCCCATACATCAGGATTCATTTCTTTCTCCACAAGGGGAAGGCAGTGTACCTGAACTAGGGGCATTCATATTTATGTATTCTAACAATAAAATCTGTCCCTAAGAAGAGAACTGGACTTTCATGGAAAAAGGAAAAGGACTGTGTAAAAAGCCATTCCAGTTATAGCCTAAGGGTTATAAAAAAAAGCAAGTTACCCCCTCTCCAATGACTCCCTTACTGAGGGAATGACAGCTGGAAGAAATGCCAATGTACTAGATTAATGCATGGTCAATTTATAAAGCTTGAACTGAGTCAGCATGATTTGAAGTTACCCTCTCTCCAATGACTCCCTTTACTGAGGGAATGACAGCTGGAAGAAAGGCCAGTGTGCTAGATTAATGAATGGTCAACTTGTAAAGCCTGAACTGAGTCAGCATGATTCTCAGTGTGGAAAGCCCACCTGAAGATTGTTGTGAACAGCATGAAAGCAGAACTGGAGGGGAAGGTGGTGTGCTGTTGTCACTCTGGTTTTACTGATATGAACTCAGCTGTTCTCATCATCCAAGGTGCTTGGGTTCTCACTATCATTGAGGATGGCTACAGTTGTTTTCAGGGGAGCTCTGGTCCTTACCTTAAGGATTGCTTCCTTGCTGCAGTGCAGATCCCTCAGCTAGGTGGCACCCATCCTTCATCCCACTGCAGAGACATTCCAGTTTCCACCATTGACCTTTGGGCCCTCCCTATGGAGGTCCTTGGTATAAACTTTCATGAGGCATTATCATGGGCTCTAGGATTCCAGCTGGACTTATAGAGGACATTGCCATAGGCTCTAGGTCTTCACCTGGACTTTTCGGACATTGCTATGGGATTCAGTCCCTGAGTTGGAGTCTTTGGATATCTAATATGTGGAGAGATTTCCTGCTCTCTTCTGCATTTTATTCTTTACATGAGTATAATAAATAACACTGAAAATTATGTGTCCCTTGCAAACCCTGGCTACAACAGCTAGGGTTGAAAGAAGGACCAAGATATATGCTCCAGTGATCAGCAATAGGCTGGTTTCTTTTTCCTCTATAGACATGGTTACTCAGAGCTCCTTGGTGGAGATGACAGCCTGGTCAGAGGAAAAAGGCAGAGAGTGCCACAGGGACATTCACAGTTTCAGGAACCGGTGGTAAGATGTATCTGATTCCTGAGATCTATTCCTTCCTGTGTTTGAAGAGTGCTAGTAGGAAGTAGTCACTCAAAAAAAGTATAGTAATCTTTTTTTTTTCTCTTTTTTTTGCCTTTACAGTTTAGAGGGGTTTTGGTTTCATTGAGTCCTGATCGGATTATGTTTGATGAATTAACGTTGTCAGAATGGCTGTTGGAACCTTGAGTTTCCCTTCTTTTGGAAGAGAGTGTCTTCAACTGAAATTTCTAATGTGGCTTTATTTTTTTCATTCTTTCATGATGTTCTTTTTTATTATGTTTTATACTTTTCTTTGTATGTATATGATATACATATTTTCTTCAGATGTACTGTTGATTATTGCTTTTATATTCATCTTCAGTAATGTGGGCTTACTGGTTTATTGAAAGGACATTTGACATGACTTCATTGTGGAATGGTTTAGATTTTTTTCAGTAGGCATCTCCTTTGAATGGAAGGAAACACAAAGGATAACTTCTGCTTAGAAGAGTATTTTGACTACGTGGCTTACTTTGAGGTAAGTAGATGGGAAGCAGTAGGCAGGCCAGAGTATTCAGAGCTTGTTCCTCAGGCTCTGAGCCACACAACTTCACGTATATTAGGTACACACCCTCTTTAGAATAGTTCTCTCAGTCTGTGCTCATAAGGGAATTGAATTTGCAGAGTACCTGACAAAGCTTTTATATAAACTACTTGCAGTTACACTGCAACTTGCCTTGTTCATTCCAGCTCTTTCACACAACTTTCAGATAAGAACATGAGTGGCCTCTACTCCTGCTGCAGCAATTTCATTATATGTGCACCTTAAGGCTTCCTCTCCTCTTAGTTATCATATCTTGGCTGCTTTACATTTTTCAACAATATTAACTTTCCTGGAGTCATAGTACCACTTCCGCACTCAATGACATTGTAGATTCATTTTCTTTGTGTTTATTGACTTAATAATACAATTTTAAATGAAAGAGAAATAGCATACTTTAGTATAGGCTTCTTTGAATATTGATTGGTAAAATATGCTAGGTAATGTTATCAAAAGAGATGAAGACATCCAAAATTTCATCCTGAAAATTACTTTTTGAACTTTAGCATGCAAAATGTGTGAACACATTTAGTTAATGTTTAGCCTCAGAATTTCATGATCTGGCACACATTTGTAATTCTGATATAAGGGATATTTCAGTACCATTTGCTCCTACATAATTTCTTATGGGATGATACATTTAATAGAAAGATAGGTACAAAAGAGATAGGAACAGTGGTAACCTGAAAATGGTTCTTGTGCATTTTGTCTGAGATACAGTAAAATGTTTTAGGGTATGCTATTGCAAAGTCTCATAAAGGGGAGATCAAATGCAACAGGAAGTAACATAAATCACATAACAGAAAATACTAGTAGGGTTATTCAGCTAAACTTGATGTGAACAATTTCATAGTGGGCCATTTCTACAGTGTCCATAAAGTTGCTTGTATAAACAGCCAATCCTATTGAACATGGCACCGTAAACTCTTCCCTACCTTGGTCAATAGGTTGAGTTGCCTCCTTGACCTTCACTGTTACCCTGAACACTCTGTCTCAGTTTGGAGATCTGGATAGTTCTTGTTACTTATCCATTTGCGGCATTTGGTTTAATACATTCCATATGGAATACTGATTTCTGAAGTCTATTTGATTTGTCATTGTCACATCTTCTTTACTAACTAGAGATTAGTCTAAATTTCTATTACAGAAACCTAGAAATACAAAGGTTCAAAAGTTTACTTCTTTCTCACATAAGATTCCAGAGCTAGGAAAGTTTTGTCCTACGGTATTATTCAAGAGCCCATATTCTTTGTTTTTCCTTTTCCATCCCCAGTTTTTGTTGGAAGTTTCCCAGCATGAAATCCATATATGGACCCATTAAATCAAAGAGATAAATGAAAGCATAATCGGCTTTTACCCTGGGTACTTCTCTTACAGTGTGCGCTCAGTGTTTGGTTGCCTAAACCGAGTCACACAAACAATCAGCAAGGCGGGAGTATGAGAATTTTTTAAAAAATCTTTGTGTCTAAGTGTCCTGATAATAGGAGCGTTACACTACTGAAAAAGAAAAAACGGGGAATGGATATTGGGAGATGATTGCCAGTTTCTACCCAATTGGTCCTCTCTAATGTATTATTAGCATAAGTTGTATGTAATATACACTTATTAGTAGTTATGCTTTGTTGCACTAACTACATTCATGTAGAGGAGGCAGAAAAAATAAATTACCAGAGCATCATAGTCTTATTGATGTTAAGAGGCAAGATTTCACAATAAATTCCAGTTCCACCTTTATCTGCAGATGCTCCTAAGACAGTGTGTAAAACCACGAGGAAGAGTTCTACTGCTGTCTATCTCCATACATTTATGGAAAATTTAAATTGATTCCACCTTCAAGGTCTTTAAAAACTGTGGAGTTGATATTTCTACTTTCAATAAGAAATATTCAGGGGGCTATAAAACTGAAAGTAATGAAATTAGTGAAGTGGCATTAGAAAAATAACTAGGAAAAATTAGTAAGGAATTTATTTCAAATATTATTCTTAAAATAATCTCTAGGGCTTTCAGTAGAATGGGTATAATTCATGCTGGAAGTCCTGATTTTGAATGCCAGATGCCATGAGGAAAATACATGATGGGTGGGGCATGGCTACTTAATTTTTTTTTTTTTTTTTTTTGTGGAACCGGGGATTGAACTCAAGCCCTTGCACTTGTCAGGCAAGCACTTATTCTACTGAGCCATCTCCCCAGCCCCAAAATATTTTTTTAATTAATTCACTAAAGATGTATTTAGCACCCTCAGTAGAAGAAGTGCTCTTCTTGCGTTAGAAACAAACTGATAGACAACACAAAAATCATTCTTATTCTCATGGAGTTGTATTCTAGTGAAAGGAGCAGACAAAAAAGTGATACCAATGAGTCATCAATTACCAAAGTATTTCATAATGGTGTGATAACAGAAACAAGCCAATTAAAAGACATAAACAAGTAAAAAGTAAAAGCAAACTCAAACAGGGTGATAGGACAGAATGCTCATGACTGTGAGAATGCTTTAGATACAGTATCAGAAATGTTTCCCTCTGAAAATGAAATTCAAGTAGAAAATTGAACACTAAGAAGAAGGCACTCAAGGGTTAATTTGGGAAAGAGCATATCAGGTGGAGAAATATAGGCAGTATTTGAATAGTGTGAATTCGGTGTGCTTAGGGATAAAGGGGAACACGGCTGCAGTACAATGGGTGAGGAAGTCAGACTGAGGAAGCACCATGGTCAGAAAAACTAAATTTTATTCTTGAGGTGATGGTAAGCCAGTGGAATACACAGATAAAACTGAGATCTGGTTTTTTTATTTGCAAAATGACCACCAAGATTTGTATTTTAGAGAATTATGAGGAGTGAAGAGTATAAGCAGTCAGGTGGAAAGCAACACAGCAGAATGATGGCCACAGTGGAGGGGACAAGGGGTTTTGCTTGGCTCATTTAGGAATATTGTCAGTAGGACTCGGAGAAGCTGATGGAGGTAGGTGGCAAAGGATAAGAGAAATCAAGGATCCTTTTGAGATTTGGTATGATTGCCTTGTTGAATGGTCATCCTATAAACTGAATTAAAAGTATCTGTAAATAATAACCATGAACATTAATACCTTTTGGTTTACCTTGTCTTTTCTTTCCAATCTCATGAGGAGAACTTTGAATTAAATAATAATGGAGAAAGAGGTAAAAGAAACATTATGGAGGAAGGTCAAGGAGAAATATGGGTTTTAACTGAAATATATTTCTAACTTTCACAGGTTCAAGAAATGCTCCATTTGCTTGCTATGAAGAAGTAAATGCTCAAGTAGATAGTTTTGGGAACTGTGGTAGGGATCAGCAAAGGCGATATAGACTGTGTGGTTGGAGGTATGTTATACACATACTAATGACATTTTTATGTCTCATTTTGAAGTTTTGTTTCTCTTTAGTACTTGTCATTAATTTTAGTGGTTTCAGGTGTCATGTGTTTGGGAGTGAATTTGAAATGAAAATTTTGAGTCTTGTCATTTTTCTCATGCCACAAACTATAAAGTTTTATCTATTTTAGAAACTTTTATATGTAAATCATCATTAAGCTCTCTAATGTAATGGAAAATCAGACTTTAATACCCACTGCACGTTCTCTCCAAACTTATTATTTTTGCTTATTGAAGGAATATTCCTGTCCACGTGGTGGCTTCTCCAAAAAGAAAATTCTCAAATGTCTATAAAATGAGCTCAGTTTCTCCTTTATTTGAAGAGCTGTTACACAATTTATTTATGATATTCCGCTAGGAACCTACTATGTACCACATAGAGGGATCAGTAGTAGTTAGCAAAGCATCCTCATATACTTCTGGAATTCATATTTGGTAAATATATAATGCAATTTTAGGCTTCTTCAATTTGTTAAGAAATATCCCACTCTTCCCACTGAAAATTTAATGATTTTTAAGGTTTGATTCAAACAGCATATTCTCTATGAAGTTTTCCTTAACTGTTAGGTTAGAATGCATGTCTTTCTTGGATTTCTGTAAAGATTTATTTCATTTGTAGCACATTTAATGGAATTTAAATCATATTTGATGCCATACTATGAGGTCCTGATGGTAGAGGTAATAGTCCTACTCATTTTTTTTTTTTTTTTTTTTTTTTTTTTTTTTTTTTTGTGGAACTGGGGATTGAACTCAACCCTTCCACTTGCCAGGCAAGCACTTATCCTACTGAGCCATCTCCGCGGCCCCAGTCTTACTTATTCTTCTGTTCTATGGGAGATGTAAAATATTGGGACAAACATTATTTGAGAGTAAATATGAAATCTACATAGTAAATGAAAGGCCACTATTGCTTTGAAAGATAAATTTAGATCAGTGGATTTCGCAGGTTCTCTAAGTACACTGGCATAGATGGAGGGACTTTAAAATTTATCAAAGTCAGAAAATACAAGCATTACTCAAACACCTGATGTGCAATAATCATATCATTTTATTATGCTTTCAGGAACCTCATATGTGCAAGATTAATATGTACTTACCCATTTCGAACTCCTTACATTCAGCCAAATATTTCTGTGATTTATGCTTATGTACAAAATCATACATGCATCACTTTGTTGAACACTTCAAGTGCTGTTGATCCATATTTGGTGAAAAGTGGTGCTGAATGTGATGTTGGCAGGGTAAATACTTTAAAATATTTTTTAAAATATAGTCTTATTCATTACTTTAATCAGTGCTTTAATATTAAATTTGAATTTTCTAATAATTTCTATGTAACCCTAAGTATTTGAGAAAAAATAATTAACAAGTTTAATTGATTTCTTGATAGTAAAAGGGAAATGGGATTGCTTTATTTTATTTAGAACTTGAGTGTTATGGACAAAATTTCTCCCGAGTGTATTTAGCTGGAGTGGGGAAGAGAAAACTCTTGAAAATATAATGTGGTTAAGGTCTTTACAGCATAGTAATAGGCTTTTCTTCAAAGAAGAAAGAAACCTGACTTCTTAATATATTCTGTATTGGTTAGAGTGCTCTAGAATAACATAATCAATAGAAAATGTATGTACAATTCTGCAAGAAGATTTATCACATAGATATACAGGATCAGGAGGATCCATAGTGATCATCTATGTGCTGGAGAGCTAGATGATCAACCCAAGGAGATAGAAGCCACAAAACAAGAGGGGTCAAGGACAGAACCATTCAAAGTTGAAGGCCTGGAATCTTGGCAAAGAGTTGCCAGTACCAATCTAGTTGAAAGGTTGAAGAAACTGGACACCTAGGAACTGATGCCTAAAGGCAGTGGCAGTAAAGGGCACATCTGTGAAGACAGAGCTCTTCAAAATCCGTACTTCCTTCTTATTTCCCTTTGCTAGTCTATCTAGACTATAAGTCTACTGGTTGGTGCTTCTCCCAACCACAGTGGGTCCCCGGGCCTCAGTGTGCTGGCCTTGTGCCTGTCATGCACAGACACACCAAGAACTGAGCTTTCCTAAATTGCTAGGAGCTTTTTCCTCCAGCCAAGTTGACAATTCACAACTAATGGTGATGTATGCCTCATATATCCTCAGTGGCCCTCTAGGTAGAGCACAGTTTTAAAAAGTGAGCTTCTCATTCCTGACTACATCTTTGTGTACACTGTAAAGATTGGTGCACATAGATTTGAATTGTTACTCTTCCACTTGATAGGTGATCTTGCACAAATATAATGATAATAGTAATTATTATTATGTATAACAAAGCCTTAGTACCATCACATGTGAAATGTATATGTGTGTATGTATATTAATAGTTACTCTTAATGATTCTACAATTTAATTGAACCATAAAACAAGTCTTTATCTTCAGATTTAGAAATTATAAATGCCTTCTTGCTAGAGATTTAGGCCAAAGAGCTCAGTAGTTCTATTAAGGCCATGCAGCCAAAACATAATAAAAATGAAATAAACATATGGATGGTTTGAGGGTATATGATAGGTCAATTTAGAACATAGTCTTTTTTTGCAATATGGAAAGTTCTCAGAGATAATACATGAAAATAAATTTTATGACATAGTTTTTAATTGATACTATAAATCATACATGATGAAACGTTCCTGGTAATTTTGATTCTTTGAGATATTAAAGCCCTGTTTCAATTTCATGTGAACCAGGCCAACAATAAACATTGCAATTCAAAGGGCTATGTTAGATATTACCATGGCCAAGGACCCCTGGGGAGACTCAACACGTTCATGGCTTCAAAAGATTAGGCTGCTTGGCTTTATTTTTTTTATTTTTTTTT